GTTCAGATATCTAAGTGTTGAAGTTACGTTAACTGAATGAATTACGCTCTTCCCACAATTCTATTCCTCCATCAAGTATCCCATAACGCTCTGCAAAGCTGAAGTCAGCTTTGGCATTAGAAACTTGTCAAAGACAAAATACATGAATGTTCTGCCCCAGCCCAGTGGGGAGGCACCTTCACATCCCTGGAGTGCTCGTATCCAAACCAAGATAAGGAACAAACAGGCCAACACGTGAAGGAACCAGTACAAACGGAGGGCTTGGACTTCAGTGACATATGAAGAGCTTTGTAACTTGTAAAACCATCCTATAAATGCCGCTAGCTGAAATGCAGATCTTTGAAGCACCCCGTCCGTGCACGGCGAACGCACCGCGAGAGGGTGCGTTCGTCTCCTCGTGTTGTGCCGGTTTCTCTTTAGACGATGCATTTGGCTAAGTTCAGCTGGCCGGTCTCGAATGTTTTTAAGACTGAAGCGCGAGCGTAGTCAAACAACAGGCTACGCCACTGAGTCAGCCGCAGAACCCAGCAGAAATGCATTGATCCTCCAGCCAAGCCCCCCTCCCTTTCAACCCCCCCCCCCAGGGACGTTGGGAGAGGTAAGAGGATCCCCCCTCCATCCTCAAACAGGCAGAGCAGCTCCACCCAACCCATTTACAGTCTCTCTACTCCTACGCAGCCTGCTGGTGCTGCCAGGCGGAGAGCGCCCATCTGGTCGAGGAAGGAAGTGCTGGGCTCAGCAGGGCACGTCCAGCCCATGCAGCCGCTGGAGTCTGGGAAGAGACCTGCTACTCGTGCTCGGGTAGCGTCCAGACTGGGATTGCTCTGCAGTCTCTGGAGATGGAAGCACAACCCCCTGGTACACTAACCCTCTGGTCCATCACCCCCCATAGTGGGGGCTGGTGTAGCTGCCCAGCGTGTTGTCTCTTCGGATTTAAAGAGAGGAGCTGCAGATAAGCCTTAGCCTATCTGCAGTGGGGGTACACATACCCCACCCTCAGCTGGGCAGGGGAAGGGTTAATAGTCTGTCAGGGCAACGACAGAGGAAACTTCCCCTCTTCCTGCCCACTCATGAGAGCAAGGAAATTAGAGGGGGCAGTGAGACACTCCGAGTTCCCCAGCCTCCCACGGGAAGGAATCTCCCCCTGCTTCCCGCCCAGGGGACCAGAGAACCAGGACGGGGGGGAAGCTGCTGGAAGGAGCTGCTGCCGGACGAGGGGATACTGTGAGTGGTGGATCAGGCTGAGAGCCTTACTCCCGAGCCCATGCCGGGAGCTCTGGCTGGAGGGGTGTGGGAGCCTTTGAGTGGCCAGACCCTTCCTGGGAAGGGGACACCATCCACCTGTGTGTCTGAAGTGTGCCTCCCCTGGGTGCCAGTCACTGAACCAGACTAGCTTAACCCCCCATTTCCAATGTGTTTACTCTGTGCACCGGCCATCTCACTGCTCGCTTGGGGAGCCTGCCTCTCCAGGCCTGAAGGGACGCTGCCAGTAACAGGAGAGTGGAGAAACTAGACAGGCCTTAACAGTGAGAGGGGCACTATCCGAAACCAGCTTTCTTAATGCTGGACAGCATCAGCAGATTCCAGAGGGTTCTGGCTGTAGGCTGGCCCAAGACCGCGTGCACAGAATGGGTTGGGAGCAGGGCAGGTTGCTGGGTTACCGTCAACGTAGATGATGCCCGGCATAAAGCGCAGTTTCTTGGCTGTCTCCCGACTCAGCCCCTGAGAAGAGAAATGGGAATGAGCCGCTTGTCCCAAGCGCTGGGAAACGTAATTCATGTTTGCGTGTCTTAGCAGCATCCCCTGGATCTAGCGGAGAGGGCAGGTCAGACTCCTCTAATCCTGGCTGTTAGATAGGCATTCCCACGGCCCCGGCAGAGATGGCGAATGTTTCTAGTTAACAACACACCTAGATCTCATGGGCTGAAGGCCCCAGCCTAGACCACGCGATTCTAATTGACACCTGATTACGCTCAGACATTGACCTGGACACGGACATTTGGACGCATTGTCACAGTAACTGTGGGCATAGCTTAGATGCTCCCCACCTTTTGGGAATAGAGCCGCAGGTGCACTGGACAGGAGTTGTGAGATTTTCTAATCAGTACATTCACTGATTGCACTTCTACGGTTTAGACATGGGGGCAGACAGAAGCAGACAGCCCTCCTGGGAGATCCAGGCCCTCACCCCACAAAGCAATGCTTTCCTCTCTGCTAGTTCATCAGCCTCCTCTTAACCATCTCTAATACCCCTGCTACGGTGCAGTTGGCTGTTCCTTCCTCCGGCTAACTGCTCTCACTGTTCCTAACAAGTTTCCCCGCAGCACTGCAGAGCGGATACCTCTTGGACTTGTCGAAGCATTGAGCTGGAGGCAGGTCCACCTGATAATGCAAGAAGAACCTGTGAGGGAGATAGGAGAGAGATTTAACCATCCATCTCTGCTTCCCCCTCGCCTTCCCACAGCCGTCCCGCCCTTACACAAGAAGCGACTCTACCTTTTCTCCTGGGTAAATGGCACGATTCTTCCCAAGCATCGCACGGAACTTGTGAACAAAATACTCCCTAAAACAGGCCCTTGGAAACAAACACGCACGTAAGTCATTAGAAACGACACTCCCAACCTTACGCGAGATCCCAGCCTTGGCAGGCAGCACCTCGGGCACCCGCATCTCGTGCTAATAAAGCTTTGATTCCAGCACAGCCAATCGGGAGGCACAGGGAACTGCCTGCTAACCTGCCCGACAGGGAAGTCAGTCAATGAGTCCCCCTTAAGATTTCATCAATTAGCTTCTGTCTGACAGCAAGACAGTTCCAGTGTGGGGACCTAGAAGTCGGTGAAGATCCATTTTAAAGCTAGTCTGAGAAACCAGGCTTGCTGGACTGGATCCCTCTCTAGCCCTCTGAGCCAAAACACTTAAACAAAATAAAAAGCCCAAGAGGAAAAAGTTGCGTTGTACAAAGACAGGCATCAATTTAAAAGGGTTTGTTGCTTTTATAAATGGTCAAGTTAAGCCAGACACACGGAGAGGTAATTTGGTCCCCAGCCTCAATTCAGAGCGGTCAGGGTAAAAATGTGCGCAAGGCGCTAGAAGGCCACGTTTGTAAAGACCGTAGGCATGCAGGTATGTGCATGCCCACTGTTAACTGGAACTGGAGTTCTGATCATTGTGTGCGCGCAGTTGCTTGGGTTGTACTCTCAGTCACAGTAGTACCCGTACAAACTGCCTACGCAACTGCAAACCCAAGCATTCCAAAACCTGGCCTGCAGAGCTCAAACAAATCAACTTCCGAGATTCAGATAAAAACAATATGGGGCAGATTAGATCTGTTTTCCAAAATTAAAAAAAGGTGAACCCCCTCCCCCTTTTCCTACGCTCATACCCCATTTCTCCACAACTAGGGCCCTGCATCACAGTATCTCTTGTATGCAATGGCAGTGATTGGATCTCTGCAGAAACAAAATGATGCCAATCCAAAGCAAGGGCCTTACAAGGCAACTCCCCACACTCCTGAGTGAGTTCAGTCTGCTGCACACAACTGTTGTGCTCTTTATTATCTAGTTGGTTTGAATCTCTCTTGCAACCCTCCTCATATACAGCCCTATTTCAAACAGATTTATAAAGATCAGTAAATGAGGATCTTAAGATGGGAATGTTCTGGCCTTCTGAACAGGGTTTTTTCTTGCAAATCACTATGGCTGTTTCGCTCTTACTTGCAAAAGGCATCTCCAACACGAATGACTAACACAGGCGAGGCCTCCTTGCACTTCATGCACTTCTGCGCACAGCTGGGGAAAGACAATCAAAGCGAACCGATTACCACTCTAGGGACCACCTTCACGCAAAGAGCAATGCAAACCACAATCAGCTTGTTTAAACGCTTTGAAGATAGCAGGTGCTTTGTAAGTACAGAGGTGAAGGATGGGCGTAGTGCAATTCTATTTTTTTAATAAATGAATCTGGGGTTGATGTGGGAACTAGAGAGACTGAAATGCTGAGGTTATGTACGCACGGGAGGTGGTAGCGCAACCAGTGGCCTAGCAGTAAAAGCTACGTTATACTAGCTGTTACCACCTCCAACTATACAAATCTCAGTCCACATGTCAATTATGTCAGGTCCCGTTTTCAAAGCACAAATCCGGAGGCACGTGTTCAAACTGGTATTTGCACATACACAGCTGCAGTTGTGCCATGTCAATGGTGGCCATGTGATAATCTGGCCAGATGAGGTCCAGGGGCACCCTGTAATTTCTCTCTCCTCTGAAGGGCCAAAGCACTAAGGGGTGAGTAAAATAGTCACAGTAGAAGGTAATGGTCACCTTTGTGGCTATATACCTAGGTACTGTAGCACCCAAAGGCCCCAGTGAGGAGTAGTGTCCCATTGTGCTGGGCATTATAAGCCCCCCACGCCCACCGATCAACACCCCAGGCCTGGTCTGTACTCAGGGTGTAGACTGGCATAGCTATGTCCCTCAGGGGGGTGAGAAATCCACATGACTGAGCACCGTGGCTACGCCGGCCTAGCCCCCAGTATAGACTCAGCAATGTCCCCCCTAAATCCCGCTCTGCGGCTCAAGGGAGCCGGGCAGGCCGCGGGCACCAAGGCCAGAGCTGGCCTGGCCCAGGCTCCAGCTGGCCTCCCGTCCCCGCTGTCTCTGCGGCCAGGCGAGGGGGCGGTTAATGGGCCTTGGCCGGCCCTGGCTAACGCTGGACAGCGGCTGAGCCGGGCCACCCCCGCAGGCCCCCACAGCCCAGCGAGGCCCCAGGGGACCCCGGTCCCTCCCCCCGCGGGGGGCCGGGCTCTCACCTGACGCGGGGCCGCCTGCGGGGCTGGTCACAGCCCCCGTACTCCTCCTGCGCCTGGCACATGGCGGCAGCGCTCCCCTCCCCCACGTGACGCCCAGCCCCGGTCCCCGGCCCCGCTTCCGGCGCGCCCCTTCTACGTCACCGCCCCCGCGCCGAGCGCGCGGTGATGAGGATGAGGCGCGCCGCGATGACGCGCGCATGCGCGGGGCCCTCCGCGCTCCCGCCCCTCCCTCATGGCGGCCGCGATGTTCCGGAGCCTGTTGGTCTCCGCGGCCCAGCAGCGGCCTCAGGCCCCGGGCCCGGGCGGGACCCCGCGGGAGCAGCCGCCCGCCGGCCCCGCCCCCGACACGCTGGAGGCGCAGTTCAGCTGCCCCATCTGCCTGGAGGTGTATCACCGGGCCGTGTGCATCGCGGGCTGCGGCCACACGTGAGCGGGGCCGGGCGCTGGGGCGCGGGCCGGGGGGGTAGAGAAGAAACCACCCTGGAGCCCATAACCCCCCCCCGGATCCGCCTGGCCCCCGCCTGAGCGCCTGGCCCCCACCCCTTCTCGGGGGCACCCATGGGACCCCCCCATCACCTCCCTCCCCCT